GATTCACTCGTTTTGAGGCCAGAAATACAAATCGATTTGTTTTGAATCCAAAAACTCAAAAATAAATTCAATTAAAAGTCATTCAAAAACTATTTGTTTATATTATTGAGAGTTGGCTTCGCTGTAGAGACGAGACACTAATGTCACGACAATAACGTCTCGCAAACGCATCACTACTTGTATAGACATTGTATGGCAAGGGTTGGGAAGATATGGCATATTATTGACACGTTATTGACTATACAGTGGTGTGAATGTCAGCCCATGTGTGTTGACAGAGGGATGGGAGGGACAGATGTGAGGCAGAGTTGCGTTGAATGACTAGAGGTCTGAACGCGTAATTCAACGCTCAAACTGACAGTTATTTTGAAAGTGTTGTGAAAATATTGTGCGAAAAAAATTGGTCCCAAAAATGTGTTGCAAATTACAGGAGTGACCCGTAATTAGTGTCCATTTGTGTGTGCATTGGCCGGGAGTTGAGGGACAGGGAAGGGGTCGGGCAGAGCATTGTGTGCCAGTGTTTCATAAGTAGACTCACAGCTGGTATAGTGTGTGAGAGTGTTGTGAATCACATCAATAGAGAGTACAGTATTGGCAATGAATGCACACATTTTGGCGGCTGAAATGTTTGGGCTAAAAGACAAGACGGATTCGTAGCCCAACTGATCCAATGCTGACCAAATCGATGGACCATAATGTTGGCCACCACGAGGTGTGTGTTGAGGTGCACATGCTCAATTTCACGCTCAAAGGTGGGCCCCCCTGGGGTTTCCGCATCAAACAGCGCAGGGATAGAGTGATCGTCTCAAAGGTATACCCAATTAATGTTGTATTGATTTCGCGATTCAAATATTATTTACAACTCTTTTGACACAACAATAACTTTCATATGATTTCATGTCTCGCTTTTGTCCCTTCAGTTCTATCCTTGAATTTTTTGATAAACATTTATGAATTATTTTTTCCTCCAAAACACTTGAATCACTGGTTTTTGTTTTCTGTGCAGTAATTATATTATGATATAATTTGTTAAATTTTACTGTTTTTCCGTTAATTATATCAGAAATAATAATTTTATCGCATTTTACAGTTTTTTCTGAGCATTAAATTAATGTTTAGTTATTTAAAATAACTTATTTTTGTATACAATTTATTAAATTAAGATTGTTATACGTAAAAGTCTTATACCTGTATATATTTTTATAGCCATAATATCTCAGTGCTGTATATCATTGAGTGTATCGTTTTATTTGGAAATTAAATTTAAAATTAAAATTTATTTATTATCGTGTCATTGAATGTTGCAATTTATATATAAATGCAATCTATGTGTTCATACCGTATGCCTCCTGTGCCCCCATTAAGCCCTACCCCTCCATGAGATACAAATTGATTGCATGTCTTGTAATTACATTTTCAATTCAATTCAATGTCTTATTTAATCGATTATTTTCCTCTTTTGATGCAAACATTTATTGAAAAAATACAAATTCAATGAAAAATGAATGCAAAGAGGAATTCATTTCTCACAAAAAAAAACATTTTCAATTCAATTCAATGTCTTATTTAATCGATTATTTTCCTCTTTTGATGCAAACATTTATTGAAAAAATACAAATTCAATGAAAAATGAATGCAAAGAGGAATTCATTTCTCACAAAAAAAACTTCAATTTATTAAATGATTTATAGATTTAAAAATGCAAACCATTATAATATCTTACATCTGATATTTTATAGTGTAAAACAATTGTATATTTATTACCCCGACGTTATTATACATGAAAATGAATTTATTTAACGCTTTTCATATTAATTGCATTAGTTTTTTGAAACAATTGTTAGCAATAAAAATAATGCATAATATTGTAACACATATTTTTACACATCAATTGTGAATTTAGTGATTGTTTAAACTTTAAAGTCTTATGGATCGCAATATTGGTTATTCTTGCGCTCGACTCTCACCAAAAGTAATCAATAGATTAAAAATTGCTATTTTATGATAATTAATATTTGATATTTAAAAAACACTAACAATGAATTTACAGTATATTTCTATCAGCCATTCATATCAGGCTTTTTTTATAAATGCGTTAATTATCGTTAAAAACTAAATGTTTAATTATTTTTCTCTGCTATTTATCTTTTATAATGAATGACATAATGACTTGAATGGTGTCTATAATAAATACAGCATATAATGTATTATTTGATTATTAGTGACATTAAAGTTATTAAACACATTATCGATATGTGTTTGCCTTTCAATACATTGAATTGAGTGGACTTTTGTGGCCAAAGAGTAAGAAGTAGGTAATGATGTTTGCAGTCAATGATCTCTTTTTCTTCCACATAAATCTCCCGCACATCATATCCAGGGATACGAAACTATCCGTTGATATAATGGACCCTTATTTTACATATTTGAAATGATCTCTTCTAAAAGTCAAAGTAAATACAGCTAATAATTACCATACTTTCTATTAGTCTTTGTGTTTTTACTGCAAATGATGGTTAGGATGTTTACTATAGATAATTTGAAAACATAATGGTCTATTCTCTACGGCTAGTTCCGTATCCCTGATCATCGCATGTAATGTTGTTTTATTGTAACAAAACTAGAATTTTATTTATATGCTATTCAGTCGGCATTCATATATCAAATCCATTGAAAACCAGTTCAATAGTAAATCTCTTTTATATTTTGTCGAAATATATTTTGAATTAAATGACAAATATTTTGCTCTATTTTTTACTTGAATTGTATTTATAAAAATTTTTATACAAATACTGCATATAATAAGTAAATATATATTTCATTATTTGTCGGTTAAATAATGAAAGAGATATTAATTTAATTTTGAGATCAATCTTCATATGAATCGGTTGTCAATAGAGTCCATATCAGAGCTATAAATATATATTGCGATTATATTGAATATTAGGCCAAAATCTGAAGTTAACTGTAAATAACAGTTAGTCTAACAAATATAATAATAATGTTTTGAAAAATGGAATTTTTACAAATAATACACAATCTATTTTCTCTCAAAGGTTTTCACTTTATTATAAATTCACATTTGTTTTTGTGAACAAATTTTTCCCGAACTCACAATTTTCTCCAAACTATAATAGAAATTCTATTGTTATTTCGTTTTTATTGTATTTTTCTTTTCTTTTATCGAAATATATATTTCTTTTTAAGACAATTGTCTCTTATTTTATAGTAAATGTGAAAAACAGTTTTCTGTTCACTGTCTTGAATACCAATACATGTTTTCTTTTGTATATTAAGTCATTCAGTCATTCATTTATTAAATTCAATTGAATATAATTTCATTTGTTAATCAATTAATACGAATACAATTGTAAAAATGGTGAAAATATTATTCAATATATGCATGCGTTTGTGTCCTTCAGAGAGTCTTATCATGAATTTAATTCTCACTTTTCTATTGTCTTTAATTTGCATTTAATATAATGATTGCACGGATAGACCACCTCTTCATTCACTTCATACACAATACTAACAGTCCATACATTTCCTGTTCTTTCACTACTTTTTTGATGTTTTTACGTTTTTATGCATAAATTTATGATAATAATGATAAATTATTGTTAAGTAAAAAAATATATATTTTTCATTTTATTGTTGCATTTATTTATCACATTTATGGTATGATTTAATGCGAGAATATTTAAACGAGAATTTTAAACGATATTTTAAAATTTAAATTTGTTTATTAGCGCACATACTGTTTGAGTTGTTGTATTCATTTTCACTCATATCGCATGGGTTTGTCTCGTTTTTGTGTTAATTTATATATAACTTTTTCAAACCATATAATACTGGTGTCCATCATATGCTGGTAATCATCAATTGAAACGAATTGAGAATTTTTTCATAAATAGCATCAAAAACTGATGTTTGTTTGTAACCGTTATGCCAAACATTGTTTATTATATCAATTTTCATTAAGTTTAATCAATGATAATATATATGAGGCCTTTTGCTAATAGGTTTGTTTGGCTTCGGGTTTATGTAATTTGATAATCGTATGCATTTAGATATGGTTGCGACGCTCCCCTCCACCCAAACCCATACCCATTCCCACTGATTAAGTATTAGACACACTCTTCAATACAGCTATTCATCGGCAATGAAAGTGCTTTTTTCATTTATTTTCACTCAATAATGCATTTGTTTATTATTATTCATAATATCAGTCGATGTGGTGTTGAATGCGACAAATAAATTGGTTCAACAATGAATTGTTTTACCGCTTGACTAACGAAGTCTCAAATGTTGATAATTAATGGTTTTATTTATTGATTATTGAGAAAATATTCTTGACTTTTAATTAAAACTTGAATTCTTTGGATTCAATGCGAGAGACCCTATGAAGTCATTGCAATCATAGGAATAATGTTTTTATTGAGGAAATTGTTGGGCAAAAACAAAAAGAGACGAAATGTATGTGTGTTTATGATTGTTAACAATTGTCACTTTGAAATACTTGTCATTTTTGTGCCTCTTTATATACCATTCTTTTTCCATTAAATACCATTATATTGTCAATTGTATTGTATTCCTGTTACACAACAATACACTAATTGTATAATACAAGTGTGTAATACATAACAAAAACTTATGGCTTTTTATGTAACAAAATAACTTGAGTGAAGAATAAGTGTATTTCTTTTGTCGAAACCTTATTTTCGTTATACTTTTTAAGTGTTATGAAAAGAGTGTAATATATTGTAATAGATTGTAATAAAGCTGTTTTGTATGTCCTGACAGATCAACTGCGGCAGCAGAGCCTCCAAGAGTGGGCTTAGAGTACACGATGAGATCATCGCAGGTATGCCTTAACACACATTAATTTTCATTATATTAATGCAATAATTTTTAGTTCGCAATCATTAAAATAATGATAACATTATATTATATAATATGTAAACCATATTTTTTTATTGTTTATTAAAACTCTTGTTTTGTTATGTATTTCTTGTGATATTAAATATTGACTCCTTTTTGGTTGTGTTTTTTAGTGAACAACTTTGAAGTGGATAAACATCCTCTCACTCTACACCGGCAGACAGACCAACTCGACGCAAAGGGTGGGCCAAACACTGTTTTATTTGGTGTTAACTTCAATCAAAATGCATGCATTATAAACGCAAACATCCATTTATTTAATATTTTATGAGTTTGAGTTGCCTTTTCTCGGTTCACTGTCTTTCACTGTCTTTTTCGTAGTTGTTATATAACTTTTGGCTTTTTCTATGTGTGAAAAGTGGTGTTGATTTTGTTGCCTAATATAACTAATACAATGACTGTAATAATTGCAGAGATTAGCGAATCGGACCAATTGACAAAACTTGACTTTACTTATCAATTAATTAAACACACACTCAATCGACAGTTGCATTTAAGTGTTCGCAGGTTTGGCTCAATTCTTACCATCATTTTTATTATTTACTGTATATGTGTTGTGTATTCCTAATGTCTAACTCAATAACAAACAAAATTACTTTCCGATGAATGACACACTATATGTGATGACAAACTCGGAGACAACACATGAATTGTGTTTTTGTTTGATTTGTTCGCTAAAACTTGTCTTAATTACCGATTTTTTGATTTTGTTGTCACTAAAGGCACAGCGACTCTGAGTTGGCCCGACATATATACTATCACGTCGAGGATGAGGAAGACGAAGGTATGTTATGCTATGTTTACTCTGTTTTTGATTTCTATCAATAATATATAGACATATTCTGATAATATACGCGATTTGTGTTTTTGTATTTGAAAAGCTATTCATTCGTTACATTATAAACACAATGACATGAAAAAGCATAAATTGTTTAACTGTTCCGCCCATTGATTGTGTCCTCTCTTCCATTAGTCGGCTCTCTATCTGTTCATTGTTTGCTAGTTTTGATAGTTTTTCCTGTTTTTAGTTAATGATAACGTATTATCTGATAATCTTATATTCAATATATAGAGAATGCATTAAATAATTTTCTGCTAACATTTGGCTTTACGAAAGCGATGGCTAATACCAGGACTCACTCTCTTGTATAATAGATATGGTTTTGGTTTTTAGTGCTTGAATTTTGCGCAACATATCCAAAAAGTGGTCTATATTTATGCTATTTATGGTATATTGAAGCTGAGGGCTGAGGGGTTCGGATGAGGAGTCACATACCACTGTGTTATTGGTAACAGTTATTGGCCTAACACTAAGGCTATGGGGCGTTGGTGTTGGTGTGCCGACTGTTTGGCCATGAATTGTATTTCAATTTGTAAACCGAGAGCTTTTTTGAATGCGAAAAAGTTTTGTTGTGTTTGTTTTCTATCAAACGTTATGTTGTGCTATAATATATTGTGACAGACTATTGATCGCTTGTATCGCAAAACTATTCAATACATAAGTTATTTTGTGATTACAATATGTTTAGACATCAAATCGCTTACGAAATGACTGTATGAATGGCTCTAAAAAAAGTTGAAAGCAATTCACGCCGGGATCTGAAACTTTTCAATGACTTTTTCAGACACAGCGATGAAAACAAACAAAAATTTGCTGAATTTATATATATTAGTGATGAGGAAAACAGTGATAAAGACGATGATTATGACAATGAGTGCAATGATTTCGTTGAAATCAATTCTGACGACGAAACTAACGATAAATCAAATGACAATTCATTAAATTATAACTTGTGTTACGATTATGTCCACGAGTTTATGTCGGATAATGTTTTGCCACAACTTATCGGCGGTTTGGAGACCATCGATGAGGAGGACGACGAAGACTTGAGTTCTTGTTCGTCGTCTGAATGCTATGCAATTGCTTGTGATAATAGCACTGGTAATGAATATCATAGCTTAACGTTAATATCATTTATGAAATTCATTTAATTTGAACGCTTTTAAAGTTGTTATTTTTGTGGTTAATATTTAACAATATTGTTGTGTCAAAAACTACAGCCAAAACTTATCTGTTGTCTTATCTGTGCTTTGAGTGGATCTCTGAAAATACATTTATTTCGTTAACATTTAATGTGTTTTATTGTAGCAATTATTTGTGAGCCAAACTATTTGATGGTTTAATTTGGATTAAATGGTTGCATATAAACCATAATGGATTGGTATAATAGTATATTTGTTTATTTATGTATAATTTTGTGAAAAATAAATAATTAAAGACAAGAGTTTTAGAAATGTTAGCGAAAAATGTATTGGTTTAGGGAATTGTATTTTTGTTGAGTGAGTTCTTGTTTTGTTGGCTCTAATGCTAACTATTTTAGTAATTTCCATAAATAGTAAGGACAGTAAGGGATGTGTGTTTAAGACACGCGTGTTATTCATTTGTGTGTCTCATCCCTGTATGAGATGTGTGTGTTTGCGAAAAGAAGTGATGCTCTGATCACTCGGTTATAGCGTTTTGCATCAAAAGTCGAAATCTTTTGCATTTATGTCAGCTTTTCACTCATTCATCCAATTATTGCTTTACTGTATCTTTTGTGTACTTTTCCATACATTTCTCACTCGATTATAATTTCGTGTTTAAGTTATAAAAATAAATACATTTAATGACTATTCGTTGGAATCGTTGATGTAATCGTTTGACAAAAACATCAATTCCGTTATCAACTCTTTATTTTTCTTCATTTTCCCATTAAATCAGCAAAAATTTAAAGTTCTTTTCTTTTTCTTCTTTTTTCTAAATACATATTAGAAGTGAAATTATTTGTATAATATATTTAACATCAAATTCTTTATATGTTTTAAGCTCTACACCAACAACACAGTGAGGAAGAAATCCTCTCGCCTTCTGAAGACTTCGATGGCAACGATATACTGATACCACCGCCTGATATAGACTTTGGCGAAGACGCCGAGTCGCCAATTGCCGCCTTCTTCGAGCACATTGACCAACAAAGCGATAAGACATCAGATATCCTTCCATTAGCGTTGTCTCCCGACTCGGATGATAGCGATATGCCCGCCACCGCCGGCCCCACATTCAAAGCCAAAGCACCAAAAAATGGTACGAATAGTCTATTTTCAAACGCTTTTCTCATATTTAACACAAAATAAGTTTGAGAGATAGAAATGTTTTAAGAGAGTATTGGTTGTGTTGTATTAATCGCCTTTCATCTGATGCCATAACTAATGCACTGCTTTTTATTTTAAACGCTTGACTGCCATTAAAAAAGGCAGAGATGTTTTGATTTGATGCTAACAGTAGTCTATCTGTGCTCTCAATACAGTGAGAGTCAGTACTACCGGTGACTACTTCGCTGACTCTCTTCTAAGACACAAGTTTTGCCAACTCTGTTGTCGTTTAGTTATCTCTGGGATTATTTTGGGAAAGCCTTATATTTCACAATCTTTTATGTAATAAAACTTACGCTTTTACGAGTCAAGTCGTGCTCTGTTTTTCATTTTCTACCGATTATATTGTTTATAGTGTTCTCGAGTCTTATAAATGCAGTATTAATACTGTATTACTTATACAACAAGCCATCTATCGATTATTCGTTACTAACACATAACCTGTCAGTTAATCAAATCAATTCTCTGTTTATTATATTTATCACATATTTATTATTCCTTTACTCAAAATTATATTTATTTTCTAATTATTTATTCTTCATTTCTACTATTTTTTGTATAAGAATTTGTGTATTCTTTACACAAAAATAGTCTCAAATCCGAGAAAAACAGAGTTTAAGTAAATATCGCAAAACCTAAAAACAAATATACAGTTATAGACAGTGTTGAGTCGTGCACTGCATTTGAAAACGTTTGCAATTAATAGCCGGTTCACTCCAACTCTATGTTCATCTCCGCCCACATCTAATATTTAGTGACAAAATAGTTGCAAAAGCGAACCGTAAGACAGAATATCCCAGAATCGGAACAAATGCTTACCAGATATGACATCCATATTATATATAAACGACAAGACTTTGTGAACCATTCATTCATTGCTTTAAATGAGTACAAATACAGTGACTCTTCCGACATCTCACAAGATTTGTCAGTCATTTAAATATATTTTTGTGATCCGGAATTGTATTCTCAAATGCACTCTAATATATACTTATGTAGTGAATGATCAGAAAAACTAGTTAATAACAGTTGTATAACTGATCCCACATTTTTTAATGAAACAATATTTGATAATTTATCTGAAAAACATTTATTATAAAAAGTAAAATAAATCCACAAAAAAAACTTATAAGTTTTGGCTTATTTTGATGGACTGTTTTTGTGAACTCTAGACTTTATTGAAATATTAGATCTCATGTTTTTAGTACACATTTTTATGGTTTCATTACATTTATATTATTTATAACAACAAAAATAGTCCATTCGTTGTTCCTATGAATTAATAAATGAATAAATGTTTTCATTTCAATATTTAATTAGATTTTATATGTAATTCACTTTTTCTAAAGTAATAATTTCGATCCCTTTAAGGATTCCTAAGATTTTGATTTTATTATTTACTGGAATTTAAATATGTTTAGCAATGATTAGGAAATCGGATGTTATGTCGACTCGAAAACCATAACAATACTGAATGTTATTAACAAACAAACAGATTAAATAACACTTCGCAATAAAAACACATTAATTATTGACATTACTTTTACGGTATATTTCTTTTGGGTGTTATTTTTGGGAATGAAATATTTGTTGAAAAATTGTGCACACATTAAATCGATGGTAACTTTGTTTTGTCGGATACACCAAAACCAAAGATCGATAAATACTTTATGTAAATCGGTGTTCAAAATAGCAATTTTCTAAATCTGATTAATTGTTGTTAACGTTTTAGAAAACAAATCGTCTAAATAATTGATGAATAAGTGAAATATTTTGACTCAATTAATGCGATATAACATTAAAACTATATATAAATTAAATACTATTTTGACATTACATTGGAGTAAATCTTCTTAACGTATGGATTGATTCGTAAAATATATATGAAATAATTTTCAGTAATCGTATTATACAAAGTCGATGGGATTATTATTATTTATAAACACATAATAGGACTTTAGGGCAAACATTAAATTGAGACCATTAAAAATGTTGATTTGCCTCACAGTATGCCATATGAAGCCTAAAATAGACTTTCAAAATGTTATCTCTCGTATCACTTATTTTCTCGCATAAGAGTCTGTGATTGATATGATATTTGTATATAAATGTGTTAACGGGAGGAATGCTTTCTCGCAAACATTATATAAGGATTAGTTAAATAACAATTAAAATAAATGGCGTATACCATAGCACAACCTTCACTGACCCACTTTACTACCACTCTAACTGTTCCGCTCGTATAGCAGTGTATTTTGTGGTCAAAATGTAGGCAAAAGTATTAAACTATTTGAAAATTACACATCAATTATAGTCATTTTCTAAGGAATTTGGTTTTATTGACTCGATTATATCGATTTGGTTCTGTAGGCCTTTATTTCTAACATTAATCTCGGTGTAATTTATTTTAAAATGTATAAAATGTTACATTTATTTAATATTATTGCATTTTTATACATTTTCCACTGATATATATACGATAATATGGTCTATAATTATAAGCATTGATTAGATACTGTTTTATTAATCTTGAAAATGGTTTATTTTAGTAATGAATGAAACCTTTAATTAATAGGTTTTTACGGTAAAAATTAATGCACTTTAAGATTGAGTTTTGCTGTTTTAATTTAAAATTCAGTTCCTCTCTGTCTGTCTTAAGTGTTGGTAATTTTAGCGCATTTTGTCATCAAAAGGATTGCAATAGTTTTAAATTAAATTAATATTGAAATTTAATATTTTGTTTTGCATCTCAAATATTGCATAAAATAGTTGTTTATTTAAGTCTTAATTAAACGCATTGACGTCTCAGTTGTAAACACTTATTGAAATGTCAATAAAATAAAAGTGAAGTTAAATATATCGGACTCAAACATGTGGCCGACAAATAATTGAATAAACATTAAACTCGAGGTATGTTTGCTATTATTAAATGAAATGCGAGGAATTTATTCACAAAACAATGCATTTTATTGTTTTGCCAATCGATTGAAGTTTTATTTAATATAATAACGAATTTCCAGAACTCTAATGCATTTTATGACATTACGAATGACTATTTTATGGCAGACATTGAAGTAATCATAAAATTCAATTATATCGTTAAATTTACAATTGAATTCATAATATCCCGAATGTATTATACAGTACTCGAAGAATGACTGATTGTCTAACATTTTGTCACTAAAAGTAATGTTGATTTCTAAAGTTATAACTCTTTATAAGTCCGGTAGAAATATTGTTGACAAGTTGTCTATGTCTCTACATTACTGTTAGTGGATCTTTCATTATTGAGCATTTAATAGGGATATAATAGGGATATATTTAGCATCACTATCACTAATATTTTAGCACAGTTTCAACAATACATTATTTTGTATATTTTATATTATATTTAATTTAATATTTTATTCAAATAAATTAACGAATATGATAAAAGATTGGTCTTTATTTGATTTCAGGACATGATTGATAGTCATATTTAGACCATGTTCATTTTAAGTTGATAAACGTCATTCTCGAAAATTCCGGCAATAAATATATTTCCTTTTATTCTTATAATATATTTCAATAAATTATTTAATCTTTTAAATAAATATTGGAAATGAAATTTCATGTTAAATAAACTAAATTAAATAAATTAAATTTACAATAATAAATAAATGCAATATAAATACATAAATAAATATATTAAATTAAATGAAACCTTACAAGCATTTTATTACAGATTATTATAAATTGTAATCACAACTTAATCTCATTTTTATAAATTAATTTAATTTATATAATACAAGATATTTGTTAATCAAATTTATAAACTAATAAAATTAATCCCAACTCTTTCTAAATCTTTTAAAACAAAAATCAATACAAAAAAATTTTTAAAATATTTTCATAAAACAAATACTGAAATGAAAGTTAAATAAATACAAAATGATAATTAATAGTTATATTTATTGTGATAGTCTGGAGTCCCGGCAGTACAACCAATAGTGAGCACTCATCGAGTACTGAGACGATTATTCCCGCGACAGCCCTTCAATTTTCAACCCCAGATCACGACAGTTATCATCACTCGAAGTTGTCTTCTTCATCAGTTGGCGGTAAATACCAGTCCGACAGTCATCTGATTGGTGTCCCCCTCTCGCCGACGGCCAGCGAAGTGACGCCAAACGATCACCCGATAGACAATGTGACCGAAATCTATGACCCGAACCAAACGGTGACCCCAACACACAAATACTGGACACTTCCCCGCAATATAGCGACCGCTACTAAAGCTCAATACTTAATAGAAGACGAGAAAGAGTCACAACAACACGACACTAGACAGTCATCACACATACAACTCCATCACAGCCACAGCCATAGCCATAAGCCGCAGACTGAGCGCCACATTCACCGGCAAATCATAACAGATCTTCCGCCGCCTTCCAGTGCTAAATATTTATACGAAACAGAAAACACCAAATACTTCACTCTTCCCACCGAAACGACAGATACTGTGACCACAACCAGAAAAGTAATCCCAGCGCCGCCTAAATCCGATGGCATCGGACCCGTCACCGAAAGCGGAATACCTATTGCGCTGAAATCTGTATGTCTTTTGCTTTATACCAATTATTGTTTGAGGAAACATAAAGTCATATCATTTGAGTAAATGTTTGAATTGTATTTAAAAAGGGCGTCAAAGAGGAGTACGCGTCCGATTGGTATAAGGCTTGGGTCAGGAAAATGCATAAATTCGACAGAACTCACCCTCAAGAGGACGAGGCTTTTAAAATCAAAGTCAAGCCCACAAAATACAAAGGAAGAGGTATTTTCTCACTCAATCCACTTATGAGACCCGTTTGTTGAACTCATTTCTCGGACGCAATTTTGTTTTGAATGAATAGACTATCGGCTCAGTCCCGGACTCAACGAAGAGGAAAGTAAGCGCCGACACATATATGTGCCCAAAAACATCGCTGAGTACGAGACGGGACATTCCAGTATATCAGAACTTGAAAAGCAAATGGTATGTGTCTTCACTACATTCTTGTCATGCATTTACTCTCAATTACTTTGTGTGTCTGCTTTTAAACATTGCTTTCTATGTTTAAACTGAATTAACGTTTATAAATACTAAATTCTTAACTCGTTTGTTCTTTCTCTTCTGTAATAATAACAAACTTCTAACACTTAATAAGTTTTACGACCATATATTCAATTATATCGACTCAATATTTGCTGAGGTCTTCTCCACTACCTCTCAGGTAAGCCTCACAACCGCTTAATCTCCAGGTCTTTGCAAATTTCACTCTCAAAAAACTCGTTTATTGTTTTTAATTGTTATATAAAAACCGCATTTCGATTATGTTTTGAGTTTTGTTTTCATTGCTTTTATTTCCCCATTAATTAATCAATTATTTACGCAAACGATTAACAATTTAATGGCATAACAGGAACCGATGCCACTTTCCATCGCTAACATTATGCCTCCAATGCTATCCCGCGGCCGCACGATTCAGGTGTGCATTAATTGAATTATTATTTAATTAAAACACACAAATCTAACGCATAATGAAATTGAAAACAATAGGAAAGTAGAGACGACATGGACTTACATCACCGAACGGGAGGCTCTCATCCCCAGCCCTATCATCACCCGAATTGTGTCTTCAATACGTTGACGACAGGCAGTGGCTATGAATCGGATTCTTCTTATATTATTAAGAAGAAGGACTCACAGAGAAGTAGGAATTATTTGATTGCATTCTTAAGTTGTTTTGTGTTTTGAATTTTTTAAAATAATAAACATTTGAAACACTTATCATTTGAAATGAAAGGTCTGTCGCCGACCTCTCGAGATGTTTACCTTTCGGTGCAAAGAGGAGATGATATTCCTCTGACAGGACTGCGAAGGCCTGCACCACAACCTCGCGCTCACAAACGTAAGTCTCGTTTCTATTATTTGCTATTCATTACGCTCTTGAGATTTGTTTTGTTTGTTTCATAATTTAAATGAATGGCAAATATGCATGACTTTGAAGAATGTTTAATAATGCACGACATTATGACATAAGTTGTTAACAAATCAAAGGGTTGTTGCAAGAGATCGATCGCATGAATAAATTACACATAATTTTGCCGCACAAACACACAGTCATATCAGAGCTTATATTATATATAAATTGGATTCTCACACATTTTCTCATGATATTGGGTTTGGGAGCGCGAGGTTGTGGTGCAGGCCTTCGCAGTCCTGTCAGAGGAATATCATCTCCTCTTTGCACCGAAAGGTAAACATCTCGAGAGGTCGGCGACAGACCTTTCATTTCAAATGATA